GTAACAGACTATATATAAGGAGCTCCAACAACGCAATAGGAAAAAAAAAATCAAACAATCCAATTAAAAAATGAGCAAAAGATCTAAACACACATTTCTCAAAAGAAGACTACAAATGGCCAACAGATGTATGAAAAAATGCTCAACATCATTAGTCATCAGAGAAATGCAAATGAAAACTACAACAAGACATCATCTCACCCCAATTAAAATAAATTTTCTCAAAAAGACAGGCAATAACGAACGCTGGAAAGGATGTGGAGAAAGGGGAACCCTCATACATTGTTGATGGGAATGTAAATTAATGCAACCGCTATGGAAAACAGTATGGAAGTTTCTCAAAAAACTGAAATATAACTACTATGTGACCCAGCAATGCCAGTGCTGGGTCTATATCCAAAGGATGGGAATTCAGTATATGGAAAAGATACCTGCACTCCCCCGTTTACTGCAGCACTGTTCACGATAGCCAAGATTTGGAATCAACCCAAGTGTCCATCAACAGATGAATGGATAAGAAGTTATGGTACATATACACAATCGAATGTTATATAGCCACGCACACACACACAAAAATGAAATCCTTCCCTTTGCAACAACATGGAGGGAACTGGAGAACATTATGTTAAGTGAAATAAGCCAAGCACAGAAAGACAAACCTCACATGTTCTCACTCCTATGTGGGAGCTAAATATTAAAAACAATTGATCTCATGGAGACAGAGTAGAATGATGATTACCAGAGGCTGGGAAGGGGGATAAAGGAGAATAAAGTGGGAATGGTTAATGGGTGCAAAAATACAATTAGATAGTTAGACAGAATGAACAATATTTGATAGCACAACAAAGTGACTATAATCAACAATAAGTTAGGGAATTCTTTAAAATAACTTAAAAAGCGGAATTGGGATGTTCCTAACACAAAGAAATGATAAATGCCTGAGGTGATGGATACCCCAATTGCCGTAATCTGATTAATTCATGTTGTATGCCTGTATCAAAACATCACGTGTACCCTGTAAATATATATAACTATTATGTACCTATAATTAAAAATTTTAAAAATTATAAAATTAAAAATGTTTTAAAAATTTTAAGTACATTCTTCTCATCCAAGCACTTAAAGCCATCTATAATCTAATTCCAATCTACATTTTTAACTTGATTTCTTACTACTCTGTCACATAAACCTTCATTTCAGTCAAGTTGTCTTATGTACTATTCTCTGAACATATCAGGTGTATTTTGCCTTTGTTTACCTCCTATTCAAGTTCATTCTTTTTATGCAAAAATCAAATACTGCCTAGTTTTGATTCTACCTTCTTCTCTCTGGAGCCTTCTCTGTACATCTCAACTCTAAGTGGTCTTGAGTATCTGTAACTTTATTTATCTTACCTGTTCAATTATACTGTAAGTCCTCAAGGAAAGGAAGCTATTTTAAATTTTTTATATCTCTTTTGGACATAGCAAAGTAACTTTTACGTTGTAGGTATTAAATGTTTGCTGATGGACTAAAATTCCTTTTTAATACACAATCAACATGTATTTATTGAATGCTGCTCATGTGGTCCACACAATGTATGTATTTTTTTTTAACACATTGACTGCCTGCCACATTAGAAAAAAAATTTTTTTCCTTGAGGCCACAGAGTTTTATTAAAACAAACGACCCTTTCTAATTTATTTTTTATTGTTTTCTGAGTTATATGCAATGCAATCTATATTTTTAGAATTAAATTGTCCATATTAATTGTAACAATAAGAGTATCAACAAGTAAGATTTTCACAAACCAACTGCAGGGTTTTGCTTCAAAAGGCCCCAGGCTCAAAACTAGCCTGAGTTAAATACAACTTACATGGCAGTCAATGTGTAATCTTAGGTATGTTCCTCAAAGCATACACAATCAACTTGAAAAGATATGGCTAACACTAGGAAAATGACAAACCACCAAGCATCGCACATAATTAAACTATGTGAAGGATGTTCTAAGACAAAAGAGTTACAGAAATATAAAGAGCAAAAAAGGAGGAGGGAGAACATGAGCAAAAGTTAAAGTATAAAGTAAGCACAGCTTGCTATTGGAAAGTATGGCAATCAGCTTAAAAGACTATAGCAAAGAATACTTGTTCAGAAGCCCTAGACAAAAGACTGAATAAATAGGGCATAAATTGATACTAAGAGTATATTAACAGCCAGGAAAATTTAATAGATGGAAAATAATAAACCACTGAAGATTTGGGGGCAAGGGAATACTACAATAAGGAAAATTAGAGTGACATCTCTATTGAGGATAAATAGAAGGAAGAGACACTGGATTCTGAGAGGTTGATATTACTTTCAATATTCAGGCTCAGGAAATGAGTCCTGAGGTTCAGGTGGTAAAGGAAAGAAAACAGAGACATGAGAGACAAAAGAAATATGCACATGTTGAATAGGCTAATAAAAGGTAAATGAAAGAGGTAGTTTAAAGATGATGCCTAATTTAAAGCTTACATGATCAGGAGAGAAAGAAATTAAGGGATATAAAATGATGCTTTTCATTTGGAGCAAGCTGAGTTTAAGGAGAGGATCAGAAACAAGAGCAGAAGACCAGCATTGGAAAAACCAGGAAGTCAGTGGAATGACAAGTAAGATTAGTTTTAAAATGAAAGAACTGGACAGAAATTATAAAGATACTAAATAGGAGAAGAAATAATATATTAAACCATGATCAGTTGATACCGGCTTTGTATGAATAATTTCATCAGAAAAGCAACCAAAAGCTAAGGCAGAAGTTCCCAAACTGCCTCCATATGCAGAAGCCCTCAGAGTGTTAGCAATTTTTTCATGACACCTCTAGGCCAAAAGAAATACTTAAGTAGGCAGGTTCAAATAACTTAGTAAGTATTAACCTCCTTACAACTTAGTGTCTGTTGGACACTGTACAACTTATCAAATCTTGGAATCAAACTGGATACTACCACACCTCATTTCCTGTTCCACATACATTTTCACATAGTAGTTGCTTTTTAGCAGAGCAACCTCTGAAGATGCAGCTTTACAAAGATATGATATTGTAGAAAGGGATGTAGGTATCTCATGTGAAAACCATAAACTACCTCAAACTAATAGTTTAAGCCCAAGGGGCTCTGGGCACCTCAGCACACAGTTTAGGAAACTGGAAGCTAAGAGAAGGAGCCTAAAAAGGGAAGAAAAGAGTAATGGGGGAGGAGCAAAACAAAGTTCTTAGCACAGTTAACCACAAGAGGGCAGCACAATGAGGGTTCAAGGAGATAGAAAGGCTGTAAGACCCTTTAGCCAGTTCAAGACCTAAAAGTCCTTTTTCTCCCTATACTAAATAGGAAGAAACATTGGTCACTGGCAGATCACCTTATGTGGAGTCATTCTGCCCTTCTCTAAATCTCTTCTGCCTTCCCAGCCATAACAGGCAAGACTTTTATAAGAGCCAAGCAGTTTACTACTTTGCATGCATCTTATGCAATCCTCACAATGATCTTACAAGAAAAGTAAGGTTCAAAGAGATTTTATATAATACAACTCTTAGATGGCAAGAACATCAGGATTCAAACCCAGATCTCACTCCAAAGCCAATGTTCTTTTCTATTCTGTCTCAAAAGCATCACACTTTTGAGCAATAGCCAGGTGTAGAGAAAAGATATCATGTTCCCTTACCATACGTAAGACACATGTCTCAAATCACTATAGGCACTAAAGAAACAAGCTATTCCTTAACCAGTCCCTAAAACATACTATAAACTGCAAATACAGCACATTCAGTTAGAGCAAAAACAAGCATGATGTGTTCATCTAGCCAGCCAGTATTGCAGCTTTCCTGTACAGGTGAATACATGTACTATTAAGGCAAATGCTATACACATCTAGTTTGTAGATAGGTTTGTTACACACCAATAGATAAGTGCACATACAAGCAAGTGATTCTGAAACTTAAAGTGGTTAAAAAGTGATGTAGATGGGGGAAGGGAGGCCAAAAGTTGATTATTCATCTCCAAATCTCTTAGGTGTTATGTCAGAGTACAGATTGAGCATCCCTAATCCGAAAATCAAAAAGCTGAAATGCTCCAAAATCTGAAACTTTTTGAGCACCAAAATGACACCACAGTGGAAAATTCCACACATAAGTACTTAATACAAACTTTGTTTCATGCACATTAAAAATACTGTATAAAATTATTTTCAGGCTATGTGTATAAGATGTATATGAAATAAATGAATTTTCTGTTTAGACTTGGGTTCCATCCCCAAGATATCTCATTATGTATATGGAAACAATCCAAAATCCGAAAAAATGCAAAATACTTCTGGTCCCAGCCATTTCGGATAAGAGATACTCATCCTGTATTTGCCGTAGCCCAACAACTCACTTGTACAAACCTATTATGAAACCAAAAGCAATCATCATCCCCCTATTCCGACTACTAGTTTCCTTCTTCACATTTCGCCCTCCCTCTATGACATACTCAGCCACTCCTACCCTTTCATTCAGAGAAAAAGAGTTTCTCCAGACATTAATAATCACCGGAAAGCAAACTGGGTAAATTCAACTGACACAGCAAGCTTAGGCAGATAAAACCATCCAGGAAGCATTCAATGTGGCAGCAGAAACCCCAGCAAGAACAGCTAACGTGTTTTCTCAAAAGGTATCTCTTATTACTTGGAAACATTTCTCTTTGAAAGATTTAAGAATCTCTGGCCTCTTGAGGAGAACGGGTAACGGACAACGCTTTACTTTGCTCTGCATAGCCATGTTATTTGTAAAATCCACGAGAAATGTTTCTGAAAGGATCCAAGAGCAACAATAAACACCCAAAATTACTCTCTGACCAAGACTGAAAGTTCAGCCCTGCCATTTTCAGAGAAGTAAGCAACAATGAGCCCTGCCTGTCTACACACGCTTCCAAGCTTCCTACGCACGCACTCAGCTCGCGACACCCTTGCCTTTACCGCCACGATAAAGGGCAGCAGCCCGATCGCGTACCCACCGTCGCGGGAGGGGGAGGAAGGGCCTCTTTTTCGGCAGAAGACAAACAATTCACATCTTGTCCCCGTTGCCTGCTTCCGAAACCTAAAAAAAGCAGCAGCAGTTACCACCGCAGAAATCCAAGGGAAATAGATGCTCATTTCTAGGCTGTTAAAACGACTAGAAAATTTTTAACAGGCATAAGGGGGTGGGGGATTATACGGCACACATAGATGCAAACATCAACAGCAAGACATTCGTTCTAGGTACTGTCTTAAACAGGAAGATTTTCTAGCTGAAAAGTTTACTGCCACTAGCAGAGGGAAGGCGGGATTGGGAGGTGGCAAGGGTGTAGGGACAACTGCTGCCCCCCACCCGGAGGCCAGGCAGCGACAAAACCCACCTGCTGCACTGATCAGGCGACGAGGGAGCACCCTCAAGCACGCAGGAGCTGTTCCTATCCGGCTCCGGCGGGCCAAGGTCCGCGAAGCCCCGGAGCGGACCCGGGTCCGAGCGTCCGCCAGGCTGGGCCCTCGGGGGCCCTCCCGTGCGGGCTGGGCTCCCACTCACATCCCTTGGTGGCGAGGACCAGGCCTCTCCTGGCGCGGCGGCAGCCCTCCGCCCTGACGCGCACCGCAAGTCCGAGGCCAGGGGCCCGAGGGGCCGGGGGGCCCAGGCGGCGGCGCGAACTCGCGAGCAAGCCGGGTGCCGGCCCAGCCTGTCAGCGCCCAGGGAGGCCGTTAGCGGCGGCCGCTGCTGCCCCCTTCTGCTCCTCTTCCTTTCTCCTTCCTGCAGCCCACACCACTCCCACTTCGGGCAGCCGGGAAGCCCGTCACAGCCGTTGTCTCCACCCTCTCCCGGGCCACACGGTCTTCTCAGCGCCGCAGGCGACACCGGCTCGAGCGCCCTATTTGCGTCCGACTCAGCCTCGGGGTTGGCCTACGGTCGGGCGGCCTGTAGAGGCAGGACACAGCTGGGCGTGCACTGGGGCCACAGCCGGGCGCGCGTCCCCGCACTGCGCGTGCGCCGCACAGCGCGCGCAGCGGAGCTAGCCGGGGTTGGCCACGCAGGGCGGTGGCCTCGCGGGAGGCCGGCGGGCTCGCTTGGAGATTCCCCGGACTGCCCCGCGGGCTTGAGCGCGCAGGGAAGTTGAGGTGGCCGCTGCTCGCTAAGCGCTGGGGCCCCGTAGAGGCTAGGTACCGACGCTGGGCCCGGACTGCCCCAGATGGGCGTGTGTGTGGCCGCCGCCTGCCGGGGAAGCGGCTGGGAATGAGTCAGCCTGGCCAGCGCCCTTTGCGCGCAGCCTGGCACCGGGGGAGGCCGGGCTGCCTCCGCACGGAGACTCCCCTCCCGCACACTGTTGTCTCCTTTCTGCTTTCGCTTCCACATTCCGGGTACTGCAGAGCTGTGCTTCCCCAATCCAGGCTGCTAGGCCGCGGGGAAGTGGCGCCGGAGGCCGAGGCAACACGCTGACACGCACTGTTTGGAAGCAAGGCAATCCCGAGCGCCTGACTCCAATCAGGCACCTCTGCTGGAAAGGGGTGAGGGTGAGACGAAGCGCCCAGCTGCCAGCGGGTTGGCAACGAGGCCTGCCTAATGAGGAGAAACGATTTCCACCATTCCCAAAAGCCTCATTTATTTACTCAGTTATTTACTAAGCGCCTACTAGGTGCCAGGCTGTAGGCCCCCCAAGGATACCAGGTGAACACAACTCACATACCCCTTGCCCTAGAAGCGACAAAAGTTTGAAATGCATAATGTGCTGGGTGTGTAATTGCCACTAAGCAAATGCATGATTTTATGCTGCCATGTACATAATACAAAGAAAAGAAGTAGAAAGTGAGGAGGGGGTATGCTATTTTAGGGTGGCCAGGAAAGATGGCCTAGAGTAAATGACATTTGAGCGGAGATCTGAAGGATGAGAATGAAGCAGTCCTGTAACTGGGAAAAGAGTTTCAGGCAGAGTCTCCCAAAGACAAAGATCCTGAGAATGGGGATATGTTTGGCAAGTTCAAGGACCAGGAAAGAAGTCACTGTGGCTGGAAGACAGCGAAGGAGGGGGTAGTCAGTGGTAAGAAGTGGGGCCAAAGAAGTAGCCTGGAGCCAGACTATGTAGGACCTATTTCCCTTATGAGCCCTCTCTCTGTCAACCTAAATGAAGTGATGCGTTCATAGCTCCTGTTTCCCCCTACGCAATTGATGCTGCTATTCAGGTGTGTCTTGTACTTAATGGTTTCTTTAAATAAACCTCATCGAAGAAACTCCTGCATTTCTTCTTACATTCGAGCCATTGCAAAAGGTCTTTGAGCAAATGATAGCAGGATAGGAATTAACTTGAATTCACACTGACTCCTTTAAAATAAATAATAAACTAGAGCCATGGTTTTCTCATAAGAGGGAGGCATTTACAGGGAAATTGCATTCCTATGGCTGCTGTCTTACAGGCAAAATATGCTGGAGAGTCCTTTTTCTTTATTTAAGAAATTAGAAATAGGAGTTGTGACTCAATGGCAAATGTAAAATCTGCTTAGACTATTAAGGCTGCAATTACAAACAGCAACCACCGTAAGAGTTTTCTTTTCCTGCAAACAAAAGCTGTTACAAGGGTAGAAGCTAGAACACAGACCCGTACAAAGAAGTGCTGAAGGTGGCCTTAATGTCATGGTTAAATGAAAAGTATCAGAACTGTGGCAATGGAAACATCTTTTGTGGGGAAAAAAGATGCCTGTTTTAGAAATCTGAAACAGTGCAGTTACGTTCATTATGATAAGTGATGTCTCTACATTTTGCAATGATGTGTTTATTCAGCTAGGCCTGGTATCTGTTACTGTCCATGGCCTGTTTGCAGGGAGAAGCCATTTGGAACTAGTGAATATTGAGGATTTTTTTGTGGGAGGAGGATTTTTTTTAATATTAGAGATTTGGGTTTGGAAGACAAGGTGGATAAGGGAAATATATTATTCATAAGCTTTTAGGATTGAGAAATCCTCTAGCTACCCACATGGAAAGATGAAGTGACTTGCTTAGTGTCGTTCAGAAAGTGAAAGCCTCTCTCCTCGCTAATATATGATTTTAAGCCAGTGCCACTCTGGATTATTGAGCTTTTTTCACACTGTGTTTTAGAGAACTTCTGAACTCTCTACCAGTTTCTGGTAGTGGCATAGCTAGAAATTTGCTCCGCATGGAAAACATTTCAGAAAGCTTCCCCTATTATTTGATAATGATAAAAGAATTCCAAGGAATTTGACCAAGTCTTTTATGACATTCTTTTGGGAAATATGAAGAAATAAGAAATGTAAGCTGGATAGTAACACATTTATATTCAAAACTGAGTGTATGACCAAATCCAAAGGTAAAAATTAACAGCTAGCTGTCAACTGTGGAGCTACACATATGGTGTTGTGAGTGTCTGTCCCTCCCCGTCGTAGGAGCGTGGCAGCAGTGGTTCTTGGCTGCCATGCCCCAAACCTGCCCCCACAACAAGACTGACTCAGTAAGTGTGAGTTAGGGTCTTGGCATTTAAAAAAAAGAAAAAAAGTTTAGGTAGTTTTGATGCAAAGCCAAGTTTGAAAATCCATGGCCAAGGGTTTAAGAACTTAAGCTGGAGAGTCCAGCCAACACAGGTTTCAATGACAGCTTTTGCCAAGGAAGTTTTAGATTTTCAAAACCTCCATTTCCTCGTCAGTATAATGAGCATAGTAATAGCTCCCTTGAAGAGAGATTTTGGAGATTAGATGAAAAAGTAGTTTTAAACCCTTCGTACAGTTATTAAATGCCCATGATGGATGCAGCATGGCCGATTTACAGATATCACCAAGCTGGGAGGTATAAGAGATATGTTGGATTTTATCAGTAATCCTGAAGCATTTGTCACAATTTACGGCATTATGCAGAACTGTATGGGCTAGAATGATAAGGGCTGAGTTGTAATAGAGATAAATGCAAAGATCTGTATTTGGATTTTTAAAATAAAACTATATCATTAAATGATGAGACAATGAAAAAATCATTCTTAAGGGGAGCATAAATGTGAGTGCAAAGATACAGGAAAGTCCTTGGAAGAGGAAACAGGCTCAGGAGAAGGCCTGGGGATTGATCCGGGAGTTAGCTTCTTTCCAAAACAGGGAAGATGTACTTTTCTGAAGGCAGAAAGAAAATAGTAGCTATGGAGAGACGCTTATTTATTCCAGGTCTAGGATTATAAACCCAAAGACAAAGGCCAGCAGATATTAATGAAGTAGACAGACAAGTAAGCAATGTTTTTTAATTGAAATCATCTAGATATTTTAGGACCTTTTTTTTTTAAATTTGATTGGCTGTGGCCAAGAAATTTTCCAAAACCTCCTCTGTACTTTATTACATTCTTGTCTCTACATCAATCCTCTCATCCTTTCTTACAGTCACACACACACACAATAGTTCCTGGTGAACTGGTCCCTTATTCCCTTAAGATAACCAGATAAGTTAAACCAAAACAGTTTTCCCCTCTGTAAACCAGTAACTAATTACCTCTTGTGAGTGGGGATAGTTATTTGGCAAAATATGCAAAATGTCAATTATAACTATGCTCTACTTTTTTTTAAAAAAATTTAACTTAAAAACTGTTAGACATATAATTGCCTATTCACTAAAAATATTTTTCTCTGTAAAAGGATTCATACCAACATTCACTCTTGGAAAGAGAAATTTCCCTAGCATAATTGTTAGTTCACAAAGCATTAATTCCCAAGTCCTAATTTAGATTAAGGATTCTGCCCTCTTTGAGAACTGTCCTCTTCACCCAGAGTAGCCGGCCTCCAGCACCTGTGTCATAGTTTGTGCCCCGCCCCCACCCCCACCCCCTTGATCAGGTCGAGCTGAGCCAGTCAGAGTCTCCCTCCTGGGGAATTTGGAATTGGGATTCAAACACAGCAGATCAGACTTTTAAGTTCACTTGAAATGAAGTTACCCATGATCTAAAGTTAAGGCTGCCATTGTGAATTTGCCGTTTTTATTCTTGCACAGAAAGCTGATTTGCTGTAGGAGGAAAGAATGACACAGACAGAAGAGAAGAGAAAGCAAGAGCGTGCTATGGATCCCCACAGCTTTTCAGTTTCCTCTTCCTTATAAGGCCCAGCAAAACTTCCTGTATTTGTTATCTTGAAAATACTTCCTTATGACAAATTTCTCCTTTTTGCTTAAGCTAGATCCTAGTAGTGTCAAAGTACTGGTATCTGAAATAACCTGGAGTAAGACAGATACCAGAGTACTAATGAGAAGATAAGAAAAAATACTCTTTCAAATTACAACATGGAAAATGTGTGGGTTTTTTTAAAATACAATTCAATCACAAATTTTGGAAGTCTATCTTCAACCATAAAGACAAGCAGAACTGTATAAGTATTAGTCACAATCTGAGATATTACATGCAACCCAAAGGTTAGCAGAAGATACACTATCCTTGAGTATGATGGATATTTCCTGCAGGGAAATTTTCCTCACCCACGCCTCCTCCTCTAAACCATCACACCCCTCACTGTTCTCTTTTCTCACTTGCTTCACTCTATTTTCTCTGTAACATAATACTTTTGTGAATTTTTCTAAGCTGGGGCTATAGTAACTGCTGTGGTCACTCCACTCGTAGCTACACTACTGACCAAAGAAAAATCTGGTTTGATATTAAAGTATCATGCTGATGTGTTGGAACACTGTGTATTTGTTTCACCTACAAAATACATACCTGGACCAGATGCTATGTGAAACAGTTCTCAGTTTTAACTTCTACTCCTGCCTGGCTACCAACCCCCAAATGTCCATAATTTGTCCTTAATTAGACCCTTTTTTCCTCTTCCTCTTCTTTTTCCCTTAATGCCTTCTCTTTATGAGGTTTGAGGCTGTACCTCTTTATATCATGAGAGTGGTCAAAGGGAAAGTAGGTGTTTCCTCC